GCAATACATTTGTAAACGCTACATCTGTTTTGTTCAATACCATCTGTTTCTTCAACAGTGTCAACGTTGATTTTGAATATTCAATTTTGTTTAATTCGATTCATTTTAAACATCCTATAATTTGTTTCTTAGACAATTTCTGATGATAAGTTTGTTGCTTGTATAATGTGTTCTGATGCAGATTATGTAATATTTATGTATCATGAGATTGTGACATATTACACAGACTGGCATCATGTCACACGTCAGAGTAGTTTTTGGCATTGCCACCTTTAATTTCCGTTGGATGATCATCAGATGGAATGTATATGTTTGCTTGTTGCTCTTGTAATCCCGTTTTATTTCTTTTTTTTTTTATAATACTTTACTAAATAATAACCTTTTAAAAGTTGACATTTTGATTATGAATTTACTGTCATTATTATATTAATTATCCTATTTGACTGTAAATGCCAATTCAAATCTTGTCATGGATAGGTATTTTGATTTTTATATAGTGTATTATTGATGTAAATTTTATCCATGATGTATTGAAGTAACTTAAAGCAAGTCATACTATAAAGTCTAGATTGTATTATTGTATTGAGTTAATTTTGTCGCGTGGTCGTGACACTGAGGTAAACATCAGAAATTACTTAGTGCCTTTTAAAAATAGCCAGCGACATTGCCGTGTTGATCAGTTGATTTTCCGGCCACATATACTGCGACAATATTAACAAAGAGGAAAGATTGACCACGTTACGTTACATAATTTGATGTAGCTGAATTAAAATGATTGTAAATGACAGTGAGGTAAATGATTTATATTATCTTCCTGCAAGCTGATCTTGTTGGAATAAACCAGAAACATGGCTCGAAACTAAGCATGTGTGATTTCTATTAAAACGCATTCAGTACATTCGAAAATTAAAGCATTTGTTCAACAGACGGATTTTTTTAAACAAATTGGTTAAGTGCGAGTTGAAACCTATGATTACATATTGAATGACCTTAACCTTTGCGCTGTTCATAGTCTGGAGAAAGTAAACACATAAAAATGAAACCATGTAAATCATGCATACATAACAGACATTGTATGCTATAAATATTCGGATATGATCCAAATAGAAAACTTGGCATGGTATAAAAAATATACTCGGAATGTTTCTGAAAAACATCTTTTGATGGCAACTCATAATACTTAATACGCGGAATTTATAGGTACAACAGGAAGTACAGGAATGATAAGGTATCTAGCACAATAAAAGTGTCATTAGGTCAAACGAGGGAATTCTGGTTGTGTAGTGACACAAGAAAGCCTTATCTCTTGAAAAAGTAGTAACTTCTTCAAGAGATAAGGTTTTTTTTATTACCTTAACTGCATTTGTAAACAATTTTGTGTGTTGTTCTTTTGATTCTTTTAAATCTTTCAAATTTTATTTATATATAGTCCTTTTTATTTGCTCTTTGTTATTTTAATCTAATCCATACTTTACGTATTCACCACAGAATACGATAGCAGGAACATTACCTGTCGTTATTTATTTTCAAGGCGAAATTTCTTCAGAAGAGAAATACGGTTTGTCTTTAAAACTTAGAATTTTAATAATTAATTCCGGAGTTCTTTAATTCAAAATATTAAAACATACCCTTATAGCACCACTTTGCATATATCAACGTCATGTCATGTTCAGTCACCTGAGACCCGAGATGAAATGCGTACCATCAGTTTTATGGGTATAACAGGGCCCGTTGATTAAACCCAATTTACAGAGTACATTTTGGAGGATTATGAATTTTTAGCCAGTTGTTTAGGCCACGGAGACAGGCAGATACACGACCTTTTTTTTATACCGATCTAAGGTAATGACGATAAACAATTCACTAAGGTCAAACGTCTATGTTGGGTCCACAGTGTGATGAAAGGTACACACGAAGCAGTTCTTATTGTAGTTACGCGTTGACATAAGCTGCGACAGGAACCCTAGAAACAGAAAAATGTAATTTGCTATAGTACTTTCTATATATAGCGTAGCGTGGTCCTGGAATACCCTGTTCGAACAACGCTTCGTGATTTCGTAGTCTTAAACTGTAGGCCAAAATTATAATAATGCAGCAATGTGTTGCTGCTACAAAAAAGTAAGATAGTACAAATGTAAGCAAAACACTGGTAGTTACTAATAAATTTTACTACGTAGGATTAGGTGTTAATTTTGTTTTAAAACAGGAATTGGTTATTCACAAACATCTGCATTTATCTATCCAGTTCATCCTTTTAAAAGCCTTTTATGTTGACTTTACGGAATGAAGCTATTTTATTAATGTACGCTTAAGTGTAGTGGTTAAATTCCTGAACAAGACTTCATTGCGAATGACCTCTTTCTAGAAAAATAGGTCAGTCCTGTGAACATGAAAAACCTCTTATCAAAGCCCCGCATGAAACAAGATAACTTTGTATATCAGTCAGTCTTAAACATAGACCATGGGGCGTTAATGTATGCGGATGCTCTGCGGATGACCTGGTTTAGCGGGAAGCAGGTCAGCTGCTGCATAGCGTGCATTTGATGCAGGATAATACAGGGATGTTAGTATAAAACCACCGAGATAAAAAGCCTGCATTCAATATAGATGCCTATAGGGTAATATGCACGCTTAGTTCGAGCCATTTATTATTAGCAACTGATTTGATATAGGCTTGATCATTTGCTCGTTGCTCGTCTTTCTTGAATAGGAGTGAATAATTGATGTTGAATATTTAAAACTAATCTTTACACACGACTTTGTCCGCGTGATCAGTATATAAAAATGTACAGGATTGATGGGGCTAAAAAGTAGCCTATATTTTTTTCCATTCAAAACTATACGTGTATGGACAAATTTCACGACGTGCCGATTGGATGAGCCATTAAAATGCTAACAAGTGACAAAGAAACGTACACTTTTAAATTTATAATATTAGTAAGGATTACAAAGATCAAATTGATTTTAAGTCAAATTGAAATTTTCAACCGACTTCAAAAAGTTTTTCAATTTGGTTGTAGTTTTTTTTTTATGTTTGTTTTACTCATAACTCTGTCAATTGAAAACCGATTTGTAAAATTATTTTTATTTGAAAGGATATTATATTTATGGACTGGTACTATAAAAGTTTTATCAAAATCGATTCATAGTTTAGTATTTATATCAAAATAATTGGTTTTGCCTGAATTAAAATCGGTTTTTTAGGGAACACAATCTTAATTATGGTAAGACGAATATAAATGATGAAGCTCTGCTTTTTCTTATGAAGCAATGCTTTATCATTTTAAGGATACATTCTCATTTTAAGGAGAGACCTTGACTGATTTATAAATAGTATACAACTGTTTACTGCTGAACATAAATCTTCCCCAGAAGAGGATTTTTATCAGTATAGATGTCACGTTTGGCAGGCAGGTTGGCAACCGCAGTTGGGCTTTTAGTGATGTTTTAAGTAGGACGCTGCTGGCCATCGCTCTACCATTAAGTTCCCTTAGTCGCCTCTTACGATACCCACGGGAAAGGAAGGGGTGCTTCATTCTTTGTCAGGACCTACACGGCAGGTACATGGCAACGTTAGATAGTTTTCTTAAAAATGCAATTTTTGCTTTAATAGATTATTAATTTTATTGTACAACGTCAAACAATTTTTCTTTTATTCTTTGTAAAACAAAACAAGATATCTGAAGACTTGCTTTAGATATCTTGGCTTACAAAAGCTCGAGGTTTTGGAGAGGCTGCACTTTGTTCTTCTAATAGGTCAGGCAGACTTTTGTTTTCTCTGCAAGCGATGTTAACTGAAGAGCTGTTCAAAAAATAGCCATTTTAACCGACTTCAAAGATATTAGCAGTTTTATGTAGTTCTCAAAAACTATTTATGTTTTTTTTGATGTTACAGATTTTGGCACAAATATTTTTATATAAGGACGAGTACTTTAAGAATACGTGGATAATGCAATTCACTATTTCACTAAAACGGTTTTTTAGTATGTAGTAATAGCATCTATGAGCGTTACTGTGAATGGAACCAAAAGTAATGGGACTCATTTGGGAGAAAATGATTTCTTTTTTCTATTATAAGATAAGGATCAGTATTTGCCATACGAAAATTGCCTATTAAGTTTTCTACCGAAATTTAATAAGCATTAATTCCAAATAAAAAAGAAATGAATGTAAACACCAAATAAGTTCTGGATTCCATTTGTTTATTGTTAATTGACTTTCATTATTAACACTAATGTTATTAAGTTTAAACTTTTTTAAAACCTTAGTTTGTGCATAGATTTATCGAGTATTCTAGGCAAATAACATTGGATTGGCACTCAACGATGATGTTATTTACTGTACATATTAATACTTCGGCATACCAGCTCCGATCTTCAACCGGCTCCTCATTGTCCAGCAATCACTCAAGTAACTGGAGACGATTTAGCACTTTGGACATCCGTTGCAAGCAATGAACTATTATCTGCTTTGAATAGAGCAACGTACATTGAGCGTGATTGATACGACTCTTGGCTTCCTAGCTCGAGTAGGTCTTATTACCTAACCGTGATTAGGTACATGTATACAATATTAATATAAATCGAGAGGACGTTCGTTATTTGTCATTGGATTTTGACCGACAGCTGCGAGATTAGTTGAAAAAAATGAGGCATTTGCAGTGACAATTTGATATATGAGGGTTGGATGAAATTAATGTTTTTTTTTTGTCCCGTGATAAATTACATTGCCAGTTTTAATTAACGATCTAATATTTCAGAAAAATGTCATCGCTTCATTATATAATTGAAAATCTCTGAAGAAAAAAAACTTGAAACCTTATTGTGAGAGTATACGAGTAAATTTATGTAATTAAATAATTATCACGAACAACAAAGTTCGAAATTGTAACTTTATAATCAAAGAATTGGAAAACTATTATGATAGATTTAATCCTAGTCATAGAAGTATTATTATGTCGTATGTGGACTGTATTAACGACAATATTTCTGATATTTCAGCATGAGGTCACGGCGGTGGTGTGGTGTCCGCATGGAAGCCCGGCGGACTGGTGATCCCGCGCTGCACACGCTGCGAGCGCAGTTTCGTCGCGCCCTGCCGGAATGGACCGCGCGCGCCTCTCGCCGCCGCCGGACTGCACGAACAATCGGTCGATCCAAGGAGGACCCCGCGAAACCCCTGATACCCCAGCCCCGCCTGCGGAGGCCTTAAACGACCCAGAGACTCCGCGGCCCGCGCCGCGTGCGCTACCCTCTATTCCCGAGAGCGAGCCTCTCCTCCGCGACCCGCTCAGTGTCAGTGCTATCAGTGATAATGTTGCGCGGAAAACGAACGGTCGTGTCCTGCATGTGCAGTTCGACGCGCAGTCGCCCCCGGCGCCTGTATCCGTATCTAGTTCTAGTTCGAGTTCCTCAGACGACGAAGATGTGTCGATCGCGGAAGCCCGGCCTCCGGACGGTGGTTGGGGTTGGGTCGTCGTATTTGCATCTTTCATGGTTAATCTCATCGCCGATGGAATCACATTTAGTTTCGGCGTATTCTTCCCTCATTTCCTCGAATACTTTGGCGAGGGAAAAGGAAAGACGGCATGGATTGCGGGGATATTTATGGCAATGCCCCTTCTCTCTGGCCCGATCGCTAGTTTTTTAACGGACAGGTACGGATGTCGCCGTATGACTATATTTGGTTCAATAATGGCGACCATCGGCTTTGTTATTTCCGCATTTGTGGACAATATGGAGACTCTGTTTTTGACTTTTGGCATTATGGCCGGCTTTGGCTTGAGCTTGTGTTATGTTGCGGCAGTTGTTATAGTCGCATATTATTTTGAGAAGAAACGTTCCCTTGCAACTGGAATTTCAGTTTGTGGGAGTGGCATTGGAACTTTCATATTTGCCCCTCTAACGAATCTTTTACTCGATGAGTACGGCTGGCGTGGAACTACGCTAATATTAGCAGGATTGTTTTTGAATATTGCGGTTTGTGGCATGCTCTTTAGAGATCTGCCATGGACGACGACAATGAACGAGGAGAAGGCCAGAGAGAGAAAACGTAGACGAGAGAGAAAACGAAATAAACGGTATGGTTCCTCGGTTGATAGTTTCTCGGATAGCAAAAGTAGTGCAGCTGGTTCCACTAAAGTTGATAAAGTAGACATTGAAGCAGTTGCGTCTCCTGTTGTTCCACAGTTTAGTTCCTTGGTGGATTTACCTACTTTTATGACTGGTGGTGAGGGTATTTCCCTAGAAGTGTTCGAGTTAATGTCGAATAAAGGTCGAGCATATGCGATACTGGCTCAGAATTATCCCGGTGTTATGTTGCCATCTAGAAGCTTTAGCGACAGTGGAAGACTTCATGAGCAGTCGCCACCTAGGGGTGTAATGTCTCCTGGTACCACGCCGGGGGCTATGTCACCCACTGCAACTCAAGCTCCTGAAAGTAACAATACTTCAGCACCTCTTAGTGATAAAGTTGCCATATCGCTTTGGTTGAGACGGCAAGGTGCCACGGGCTCCTCTGTTTCCAAGAAGCCCCCGGCGTTCCTCAAAGATTTGAGAGTGCATAGACATTCTCTTACGTACAGAGGTGCAATGTTGAATATCAATAGATACAGACTCCGAGCTTCTTCTTGTCCCAATATCTTCAGGAACTCAATGACCACCATTGCAAAAGAAAAGGTGAGTTGAAAATTAAAATAAATTGTATTGTGCTTTCACATATTTGTTACCTCAAAAAAATTCTATACCATGTTTCATCAAAATTCGCTCAGTTAACTAATGCCTTTACTTCTTTATTGTTTAATTGTCTACTTTAAAAATAATATATTTTACGTACATCAAATACTATTAATACTATATTAATGTAAATTGTCAAGTAACTCTTTGAAAATGCAAATTGGTGCTATTTATATTGAAAATGACCATGTGATATGATCATCTTTTATAATGTAGTTATCATATAATTATCATATTAGCCCTTAATTGTCCACTGTCTAATGTAGGCCTCCCCCTATTGGGGAGCTTTGCAGTTGTTGCCACGCTTGGCAAGCGGGTTGACAACCGCGGTTAGACGCTGCTAAGAAATTAATTTCTTATATATTTAAATATAAATTGCAAGCTAGTTTATATTTTGTATTTCTTATAAATATAACTCGAATTTATTACCACAAATACAAAATTCTGAATATTATTATAGTTTGAAGAACGAGATAACCCCACGCGCGGGGCATCTGGTATTCTTCCACCAAGCGGGACAATAAGCTAGTTCACCAACCTTTTTGTTTAACAAAAATATCGTTCCTTCTTTCAGGTTCAATGGTACGCTGGTCTCTGGGACTTTTGGGATCTGGTGGTGGACGTGATGGACTTCTCCCATTTCCTCAACCCGGCGTTCCTCGTGTTCTCCTTATCCAACTTCCTGTTGTACATGTGGTATGACGTACCATACGTGTATATAGCGCACAACGCAATGTCTATGGGTTTCAACGAGTCACAGTCCTCGATGTTGATATCTATTATCGGGATATTGAATATGTTTGGCGAGGTGAGTATTTAATGTTATAACTACCTATCTTCAAGCCAAGTCCCTTGCGGGGTAGGTAGAGTGGGCAAAGTGCCGAGGGTCTCTTTGAAGTTTTTTTTTTATATGTAACTTAAAATGGTAATGAAAATGACTGTCCATGTGGTAGAAAGTGGTATACTGGTGATGCCTATATTGTATCTCATACATTCTTGAGTATTGATGTCGCAGTGGAATTACAAGGTATAGAAGCATAACACCTGAGTCCTCAGGAATGGCAACGCATGGGGGGTATCATGGGAGAAACAGTATACTCTGTTATGTCCATACTACTGCTCATGTTTATAGGCGACGGTTACCACTTTCCATTAGGTGGATCATCAGCACGTTTGCCATTCTAAGTTGCATAAAAAACGAGATATTGGCGGTTGACTGTCGATATATGTATAGGTGTATAATTACCTAGCGTAAACAAAAGGTAGATACCATATTTAGGTCAAAACTGTTACGTTGATCCTTCAGATAACGGTAACAGTGACAGCACAATGCCGTTGTAACAATACAGTCATAAAGTTTGTGTTTACACGCAATTATCATTGATTACTATTGTGTAATAGTGCTAAACGCTAATTAATAAATGACGGTCTAGTCTTGATAATTACTGGAAATAGTATTTATTTATTTATTTATTCTTTATTGCACAATAAAACTTTTGTACAAGTGGCGAGTTGCCATATTGCATTCTCTACCAGCTAACCATGAGGTAGAAACAGAAAGCGTATGAAGGGCAGTTGTGGTGAAGAATATGTGACTTAATTATAGTAACATATTGAAATAATTATACATAATAATACATTATAATGTTATATTATTATCTGTTTGGGTACCTGTGTCCCACTCTTGTTTTTGCCGTGAAGCGAATGTGTTTGCATGGCTGCGTTTCGATTTGAAGAGTGGATTATAGTGATTGAAATTACAGGGTACGGAGACGTAACATTGAGGTCCTCGAGGGGAACGGTTTGTTAGTAATTCGGCCTTCCAGTTCCATTGCTAAAAGTATATCCTGAGGTCGAACTCCCCGTGGTCCCTCTGCAAAGCATCGTGCTGAATTCCATGTGTGTACCCATGTTCCATAATGTCTTGGAGGTTGACCTGACAGGATATATTGCTAGGAATGGGGAAGCTAAAACCTATTACTAACAATCCCCCCTCCTTCCCCCTTTTGTTATACTTACACTCGAAAAAAATTGTGGATGGATGATGATGGAATAGTAACGTCCCCTGCGCTATCGGTATACACTGGCAGGGCACCAGTAAGAGATGATAGGTGAGAATGAAAAGGCAGGTCAGTTAGCCCACCATGACGAATTTAACAATAAATCAATCTCGACGGTTTCCAGGGGGAACCACGAGGAGGTGGACCTGACAGAGTATATTGCTAGCAATGGGGCTACTAATTCTCATTACTAACAATCCCCCCCTCCCCCCTTATGGTATTGGAATGGATATATCGATGGTTTAGTTCTTAAATATACCAGTTATTGTACTATATTTTACACGTGAACTCTTTAAAGTCATAGAATTGCTTATCCTACTGTAACAGTGGGTTTTACATAGAGAGAAACTGCGGTATACTTTTTAAACAATAACTAAAGATAAAGGATTTAGTTTAGTACTTAATTTGATAGGAAAAAAAGTGACACTTAAAAATATATATTGCTAGCAATGGGGCAACTAATCCCCGTTACTAACAATTCCTTCTTCTCCCACTCGAAAACATTATTTCTTTCGCAGTCATCTATAACAGTACAATTATAATTTCCCAGATTCTGCTCGGCTGGGTGGGCGACTTCGAGCGTGTGAACGCGAGCCTGGTGTACGCGGCGTGCATGGTGCTGTGCGGCGCGGTGACGCTGCTGATGCCGCTGGTGCAGGCCTACGCGGCCCTCGGCGCCGCCTCGGGGGCCTTCGGCGCCTTCATCGCGGCCAACTACTCGCTCACCAGCATTATACTCGTCGAGCAGATCACGCTCGAGAAGTTCACCAACGCGTACGGGCTGCTGCTCTTGATACAGGGCGTCGCCAACCTGATCGGACCTCCTTTGGCAGGTTGGTGCTTTTATATTTAGAACTTGTATAATTTCAGATTTTCAATATCATCTAAGACTAACTGCGGTTGCTAACTGTTGGAGGGGGGGGGGGGATTGTTAGTAATGCGGATAACCACTCCCATTTCTAATAATATTACCCTTCGACTTAGTGCAAAGACGAGCTATGAGAATTGTCGATGATCCCAGGCTCACAGGCGGTATCGAACCCTTAAGTCTTAGGAGAGATTTTGCCTCACTCTGCGTGTTCTACCGCTTGTACAATGGATTGTGCTCAGAGGAATATGATGCCTACGGCTACTTTCTATCATCGTACGGCTCGCCATCGACAAGGAGTTCACCCTCATACCCTACAGCCTAAATGGTCGCGTACAACGCGGATTCAGAGATGTTTTCTCCCACGAACGCTCAGGTTGTGGAATGAGCTCCCTGTCGAGGTTTTCCCAAGAGACTACAGCATGGGGTTCTTCAAAAGGGGGTAAAGAGGTTTCTTCAGGGTCGGCGGCGCGCACGTAATACCTCTGGTATTGCAGGCGTTCTGTATGCTTGTTTGCCACCTCAGTGGTATAAAAAAACACGCGGTTCCCCCTGGAAACCGTTTTGATACATTTCTTATGAATTCGTGGCAATCTACGGGGCAACTGACCTGTGTTCATTTTCATTTATCATCGCTCACTGGTGCCCCGCCAATGTATATCGATAGTGCAGGCGGAGAGAGTAAGAACATTACATTGTCATTCATTAAAAAAAAAAAACCGCGTGTTAAGCGTGTAAACTACGGGCAAAATTGCCCTATTAGGGGGAGGCTTATGTTCAGCAGTGAATAGTGATTAGCTGATATGATGATGATGATGAATTTAAGACTGTACCACTAATATCAGGTGTTATTCCTCTGTACCCAGTAAATTCACGCCATATCCCACCCTTCAAACCGAAACACAATTGTTTCACGCTAGAAACACGAATGGGATAGAGGTACCCAAGCAATCGACTTTTGTACAAAGTCTCCCTCTGGTGGTCTATATTTTAAACCAGATTAAAAAAGAATTGAATGTTAGTAATAATTTTAATTTAAATTAATAGAACTCCCTCCATTTTTGAGTACAGAGTGAAAATGAAATCAGTTTTAAGATGTTTAGCTGCCTTTAAATTTTATAGGCTTCATTTGTCAACTCACTCACAAAAATAATTAACATTGTTTTTTTCTACCATTCCAGGTTGGATTTATGACATAACCGGCTCTTACGACCTCTCATTCTACATGGCGGGCGTGTTTATCGGGATTTCGGGTGTGATCCTGGTCATTCTCCCGCTGTACAAGTGTATTCGTAAACAGAAACGCAACAAGATCGAGGAGCCAAATGTAGGAAATGGTGAAGTCAAGCAGAACGGGAAGCTTCTAGTGTAAGCGACATGTTTTCGTTCGAAATTTGAACCTATAAAATATAGAAAACACTATTCTGTGTTTGTGATCAGTTGTTCGATTTTTGAATTTATTATTTTTTAATTTTTCTACTTTTTTTTCGTATGACAATCGGTGCTTAATTCGCGCTAATATTACTTTTTTTTTATTTTTCTGATGTTTTGGCATATACGTTGTTTCATCTTACGCATGAACCATTAATGTCGAGATTGATGATGCGAATGTTGTGAACATTTAACAATAAAGACAGTTTTATTTTTCCTAATTCATAGTTAATAACGAACGATTTAAAACATTACTCCTATGGAGTGGAGACGTTTTGAGAATATGTGTTGTAATTGTATAACTATAGTATAATTAAAGGACGATACTATGTTCACCAATGATTAATTACTAAGGTCAGAGAGTCAAGGATAAAAGTATAATGTCTAGATAAGTAGTAAATGATTATATCTCTATATAGGTACGATTACGCTACCGCACTTTCGAATCACCTGACAAGGCAAGGCAAATCGTATTTTGAAATGGTTTTGTTCCTATTTGTGTAGGTTCCCATATCTACATAATATTATATTAAAATTTTTGACATGAACTGCTTACATATAAACTGTTATAAATAACCTCAGTACAGGGCTTCCATATCCACTTCTGTATTCTGCTGTTTCAAATTAATATTCAGCATTGTAATTGTTTATTATCACAAAACTAACACAAAAATACTACGGAATAAGGTATAGGAATAAACAAACATAAAAATGCGTAAAATATAAAAAAGTTATTCAGCCGCCATTTTGAAATAATCACATTTCAAAATGGCGTCTAATTTTAACTTATTTATTACAGTTTTATCCACGTATTGTCAACTATGTTGCAATTACAATTTAAAAATAGTATTAAAAATATATTAAAACTGATTTATTTAACAACGAACACAATTTGCCCTTATGTTTATTTGGATCGTGGATATGGGGCCCTTACTGTTAATATGTATTATTATAAATAAAAAAAAAAAACCACATTGTCAAGAATTTCTAAGTATTAATATGAAACAGTCATATGTAGTGAGGCCAGTTATATGTGTAGTTATGTCACGATATAACGTTAATGTAAGGTAAAAGGATAAAAAGGTTTTAAGCTAAATATTGGTTAACTATTCTATCAAAATTACAACAATTGTAATTTAAAAAAAAATTAATTATATATAAATACAACTATATATATATATATATATATATATATAGTTAACAATTACAATGGTCTGTACCAAGTAGAGGTGAATTAGGAACTTTTTTCTATGGGATTTGTTTTATATGTTGCAAATTAAATTTATTCAATTGAATGTAACTTTGATAGAATCTCGTTTATGTGACCCACACTACTACAATATTAAAGAAAAACAAAATATTATTAACAAATTCTTAATTGTGTAAATTAAGAAGTAATTTTAATGATATGTAGTGATTTATGACGTGTTGATATTGCATCTAGATTGATTATTAGATTAGATTTGTAATAAAAATACGTCTATAATAAAAAAAAAATCGTGTACGAAATGCCCTGAAAATGTAAGAAAAACACCATCAACAACCTCTTGACGTGATACCAATCAAAAATATCCATAAAAATTCACCATATATCTTTTATAGTGCACAAAAAGTGTATGCGAATAATTTTTAATTAAACTGAGCGTTCATACTCCTAATTGCATTAGTATAAAATTCAAGAATTAAAAACATAAATATAGAGTAAAAAAAAAAACAGTGTGAGGAAATAAAAAAAAAAATCAGGCCATTTTGTATTAAAGTACTCGGAATGAGACTATTTGGTTGTAGACTGTCTTTTGACAGGTGGCCGCCATTTTGTCGTTGCAGCATGACGTAATTAACGAATTGAATAAATCCAATTGTAACAGAGGAACGGTCAGAGTATTGTAAAGAGAGCAATAGACAAGAGAAAAGTGATATTAAAATTAAATTCAAATGTAAAACAAACATTAGTTATAGCTGAATATTTTTTGGCTTCCCAAAAGAATGAGTAAAAGCATACAAATCAAGTAGCCTTTATTGTTATATTAAAAATTATGAAAAATTAAAATAAATATTTGAATTAAATATTATATATATATATATATATATATATATATATATATATATATATATATATATATATATATAATATCTATCTTCATTAAAGAAGGTTATAACAAGTGGTGATTGTACCGTGAACATCAAAATTGATTTGATACCAATAAATTAGGGCTTTAAAAAGGCATATTTGGTCCGCTAGATAAAATAAATGTATCCAACATGCATTCAGTTGGTACTAGGCATGGGTAATAGTCAATAATACCGATCCGATATCTATATACTGGTTTCCTCTGTATATTTACTATACTTATTTCGATATCGCCCGTATCGACCATGTTTAAATTCTGTTATCCAATATTATTTTTTGGATTTACAAACTTTTAATATATTTCTCATTGGACCATTATACAGATATTGTAACTAAAATATATAGTTATTGCTATATATTATTCAATCCTATTGTATGAGACACCAGACTTTTTGTGTCATTCTGTCTCATGATCTCGCTCGCGATGACGATTTCATCAATGGATTCGCTTTTCTGGTTTCTCAACACGTTACAGTTGAGTATAAGACGGATGGTTCTAACACTATGACGTTTAGTATCTCTTTTTTACAACAACTTTTCCGTAATCCTATTCGAGTGTAAGTGAGATGGCCAATAAAGTTATTAGTTAAAATACTGGCTTCAATATTGTATTAACAACGGAATCTCCATTTGCTTATAAGCTTCTTTTATATCTAATCTGCACCTATTTAAAAGTATTTCAATGGGAAGACATTATTTCTATGACAGGTGAAAATGGTTGTGTACCAAATTATAACATTATAATGTAGTATAAAGGCCCCAAAAGAAAATACTAACAACGCGTAAAATATTAAGGACTGTGCTCACTATACCGTGTACCGCTACTAACCGCTACAGGAGCGTGTCAGGCACGAAAATTGTCAAAACTAGATATGCGTAATACCCAATATCTATGTATTGAGTTCGGTTTAATGTTTACCCATTGCGATATCGCCCTTATCATTAGATATCTGTATATTACGAGAGGTTTCTTTTCGATATTATATAATCGATATCTAATATATCTGTTATTGGGCTAATATATGTATAGATATTGTAACTACAATAGATAGATATTGCTCTATATTAGTCACTTTTAGTTGAAACACTGCTTTGTCTATTACAGTGGCTCACTTCTATTATATAGTTTTTCTTCTATTTTCAAATACTTAGTAATTGATCACGTTGTAATTGCGGAATAATTGATTATTACTAATTTGTAGTTAATTGGCCTCCAGTTTTGACGGTTTAAGCCTGGAATTATGGTGTTGATAGTGTTGGTGTGGATTACGTAGTGGGGTTTGTCCCACAATAATCCATGCAAGGAATAATTATGTATGCCTGTTTGCCAGCCTTTCACATATAAAATCTGTATAGTTTCAGTCGCGGTATGAGACGGCGTAGTGAGCACAGAGGTTGTTCTGAAAATGTAGTTACATTGTAAAATGACCCTTACTAAAGACTGTCTCTCATGTGAAACCAATAAACTAAATGATCTTCCCCTAGTTTTAATTACAAAAATGGTTGATTGTGTCTCTCCTTTGCTAAACTTTTTTTTTGTCTATGGTTTACTACAAGGTCATGGCAAAGGAAATGATACATTCAGCTCATATTTTAACGGTTTTCGGTAGAATAACTATTTATGATATAGTAAGAAATTATGTATATGTATATATTATAATCGAATGATACTAGGTGTAAGTATAAAAATCATGGAAATTAATAGAACCAAAAAAAAAAAAATGTAGCTATGTTTGAATTTTCCTTAGATTTAGTCGTTAGATTAGAGTTTCGAGCCTTCTTCGATGCAATTTGAGAGCAATCTACTAACTTGCACCTAACATTGTAAAATATCGAATTGTTAAGTCCACCAAATTATTAATATGCGACTAAATACTACAAAGATATACCTTTTATAAACTAACGGAGTCTCGATGAGTTGATATAAATGTACAGTTACCTGCAAAAATATATTAGTACTATTTTACAACATTGATCTTTCAGATTAGAAGCTTCTAGAATATTTATTTCCTTTTTGTATTCGTATTTATGTCTTTTTATTCATATTGTGTGCATTTTTCTATATTGTTATACAGTGAAAGGTTTATACCATCGGGCAGTTACATAATTTAAACACAGCTCAGGTATTTGACTTTGGTGTTGCCAGCTTATATTCCATTAACAATATTGTTTGGATTATGTATTTTTGTGGCTAACTGTACATAGACAGGACAAACCTGTGAGCGCAGAAACTGTTAATGTGATATTCCTAGAGTTTAGTTGTAAGTTTTTAAGTAAAACAAACCATGTATGTACGTAGGGAGTTTCTTGCCTATTTGCAACTGACAGACGGTAGTCGAAGAGAAACGATAAATAGTAATCAACACCGTATGAGTTTTCCGGACGTCTTATTATTTTCTATGTAATTATTTTTTTGATGGGTAAAAATAGTATGGTAACCCCGCCTGCGCTAACGGGATACGCTGGCGGAGCACCAGTGAAGGGTGATAGATGAGAATGAAAACAGGCCAGTTAGCCCATCATGATGAATTCATCAGGAATTAACCATGATTTCCAGGGGGAACCACGTGGAGGTCGACCTGTTTGGGTATATTGCTAGCAATGGGATTCTCAGTCTCCGTTACTAACAATCCCTTTCCCCCCCTTCTATTTAAATTATAAATCCATAAATTATAATAGATATATCCGGGAAATTCATACAGATTTGCCACCATAATGCACCGTAGTAACAGTACGTGAAATTTTCACAAATTCAGAAATTAAATGTCTAACAATTTTGATTCTAAAACAACACAAGATGACATTTCGAATGTTTTAAATTTTTTGTTTAAAATTTGTAATTTTTTAATCCGTTTATGGCATTGATTTTGTCACCAATTTTTAATAAAAAGTTTTAACTAAAATCAAATACTTCTTAAGTCTACATGTAAATGTGAAAAAAAAAACAATATTTGAAAAATATTGTGTATGTGTATGATTGTTTTGTTTTCCCCATGTTCGACATTATTATTAGATTTATTATTACACACAGGTTTTGTCATACAGAATGTATGTAAAAATACAATATTAATAGTTTTAGAATTCTGTTGTTATTTAATCTTAATTTCTTTTTATACTTTTGGCGCATCGCAAGAACCCAAAGGTGTATGGAAGTGATTGTACGAAACGGGTATAAAAATAATAGAGTTGTTCTACGATTTTAGAGCATCTAGTAAAACTTTTGATTTTATTTTTTTTGTTTTATTTGAATTATTAGACGAAGCACGTTTACCATCAGACGGGCTGTATGCTTGTTTGCCACCTTTGTGGTATAAACAAAAATTTGATATTTGATTATTGTAACCCCATTTTGGCTTTTTGTCGATGGTTGTTCATTTCTATTATGCAGTCTGACATAATAATATTTTTATTGATGGTAATATTTTAATTTGATGGGCACGCTGATTTGCAGTTGAGGTCCTGGTTCGATTTCCTGTTGGAACAGTTTAGGTAATTAAATTTTCCGGGTCTAGTTATCTTAGGTTGTGTCCTGTATTGCTTGATGCTTGGTTCCTCATAACACGGGGGATCCTAGCTTTAGGGTCAGGCTATTTGATGTAGTGACCCGTGGCACTTACAAAGTATCTACGTTTCAATAAATTGTTTAAAAAAACGTGTTTATTGTTGGGTTACATGCACTTTTGTAAAAGGTCAGGGCCCTTTAATAATACATCAACGTTAATAGGTGCAAAAATTTACCTTTCCATAACTTGATTCGACGGGATTCGAACTAATATCTCTCTGCTATCTATTCTCTTCGTGATAGATTCTATATATATATATATATATATATATATATATATATATATATATATATATATATATATATATATCCTTAAAATTAGTATTAGCTGCTTGTCTATGCTCTGTAGAACTCGGCAAGTTTGCAACATAATGACGTAAATCCTCCTTTAAGCATATTTTAGTCAATGAGAGCTTATTGAGTGTTTATGAATAACATTCTGTTATAAACGTTTAATAAAGTTATTGGAAATTTCAGCAAAAAAGCTCTTTAAACGTACAATGAGATTTTTTATAGTAAAGATATGTCAGGATATATCTATTTATGGCCGTGGGGTTCTTAAATGCGATGTCATGCACAATTTGTCAATAATAAAGAGTTAAATATTTATTTGTTGTTCGAAATTTGAGTAAAAAATTCTCCCACGACACCTTACAGTATTCCAAGTTGTAATTAACAATACATACTCAATGAATAATTCAAAAATTAGTGATGTTAAAATACCTCATAATTGTTACTTCATTATTTAATCGATCCAAGCACCGTAACAAACAAAGCAAGCAACGTAGTTTGAACGAAATGTTTGTCTGTGTGACAATTGAATTTTATATAATAAAGATCATTTTAGCTTGACATTCATTGTTTTAATTTAATTTTTCTTATACAACTTAGAATGGCAAACAAGCTGACGGCCCACCTGATGGAAACTGGTAACCGTCGCCTATAGACATGAGCAGTAGCATGGACATAACAGAGTATATTGTTTCGCTCATGATACCCCCCATGCGTTGCCATTCCTGAGGACTCCGATGTTATTCCTCTGTACCCAGTAAATTCAGGCCATATCCCACCCTTCAAACCGAAACACAGCCATGCAAACACAACTGCTTCACGGTTGAAACACGAATGAAATATTTTAAATATATTCTATTGTGTAAATTAAAAAGACCCTAATTAACATTTTAACGGTGCAGGATTGTTTTATACCATTGAGGTGGTAAACAAGCATACGGCGCACCTTATGGTAAGCGGTTACCGTAGACTATGAGCGCCTGTAATACCAGGGCCACTACGCGCGCGTTGTAGACCCTGACGGAACCTTTATTTCTTTATTTAATGCCATGTTGTAGCCTCGAAAAAATTTCGACAGGGAGCTCATTCCATAAACTGAATGTTTGTGGGGAAAAATATCTCTGAAACCGCACTGTATGCGACCATCTAGGCTCGAAGATAAGGGGGCGAACTTCCTGTCGATGGTAAGCTATACGATGGTAGGTGGGTATCATATTGAACAATTCCTGTAAGCACATTTCCAACCACAAGTGATATACATATTACAATATGAGTTAGAATGACATTCTAAAATTTTATTTTTAGAATTTAGTAAGTATTTAATGCTTTTGTTGCAACTTAGAATGGCAAACAAGCTGACTGCCCACCTGATGGAAAGTGGTAACCGTCGCCTATAGACATGAGCAGTACCATGCACATAACAGAGTATACTGTAATGAGTAATAATAATTTTTGAACTGAGCTAGTTGGATACGTTTCAGCGACAGTTCTTTTCTGATATTGTAAATGTGAAAGTTTGTTTGTAACAAACATAACACCTTAACGGCGAGGGGAAAGGGATTGTTAGTAATGAAGACTGATAATCCCATTGCTAGCAATATACCCAACCAGGTCGACCTCTTCGCGGTTCTCCCTGGAAACTTTCATGGCTAATTCCTGACGAAATCATCATGTTGGGCTAACTGGCCTGTTTTCATTCCCATCTGTCACCCTTCACTGGTGTTCCGCCAGCGTATCTCGTTAGCGCAGGCGGGGTTACCATACTATTTTCACCCATAAAAAAAAAACACCGTAACGGCTTAATCAATCGTATATTCTACTAGCAGGCTTCGCACGGGTGGACATTTTTACAACATTTTACACTTTTCGACATAATATCTTTCGAACGGAATATACCTACGATTCGAAAAATTCAAAAAATAATTTGCAGGTATTGAAGCAATTTTGAATACAAAATAAATTGTTTAATACGGATTAATAAATAGGTATAAATATCTGTTATGTCCATGGTACTGCTCATGTCTAAAGGCGACAGTTACCATTTTCCATCAGGTGGGCCGTCAGCTTGTTTGCCATTCTAAGTTGTATAAAAAAAAAACATGTATAACGCGACATCGTAATTTTTTATATTTCTATGATTTATTAAATTCATAATATCTATTGAATGGAATAGCCGATTTGAACAATTCAAAAAGTAATCTACATATATTGAAATAGTTTTAAAAACAATATGTTTTATTTGGATAAGGATTCAAACACAAGTACGAATAACATGGTGTAAATTTGGTCGGTATTTCTATCAACATTTAAAATGTAAAAATTGTTTATTGTGACATAACGATAATAGTTGGACATATAGTATCGTAGTAGTTTTTTGTAGTTATTGATATTTCCTTCAATATTGTAGAACATAGTTTTGTTCTATCACCAATAGTTTCCGCAGCGCACGTGACGAAAGATATTTTATAGCACTTTTTTTATACCTTGAGTTACGTTACTAACGTTTTAATAATGATCCCTAATCTTTTCTAGCAATAAATATAGCCCATAAAAAAAAAAAATAAATATTACTCAAGATGAATGTAGCTTTCTAATGGTGAAAGAATTTTAGAAATCGGCAAAGTAATTTTTGAGTTTATTCATTACAAACATACATACACACAAAAATACAAATCTTTCCTCTTTATAATATTTATTTATTTATTTGTTATAAGTTACAATAACAGTTTGCAAACAGAAATGAAACATTAAAAATAAAACAATACAAAAATTTATCAATACGCAGTTTGCCAACCTTACATTGTAAACATCGTTTAACACTAAGTTACAAGTAAACGTTTTAACATTTTTATAGATGTACATTACATTACTGATTACAATTATGAACTTATTCTATCCAAAAAAAAAAAATACAAACTCATTCTATCTCAAAACCATACAACGACCTCTTAAACCCAATAGTACTCCGATGAAAGATATCGAATTTTTCACTAATTTTGTTATACGATTGACAATGTGTATTAATTACAATTATATTAATGTAGATTTAATGTGCTTTATCTATTTATCTGTAGTTGTCTATAACAGACTGCTCTATGACTTAGATGCTACTACGATAATGAAATAGACGCTCTCACCGTCCCAAGAGTCTTTTATTAAAATGCCAAATATTTACAACACACGTTTGCCTCTTGTGTTATATAAAAAAAAAAAAAAACTTAGAATACTGTTTTGCGAATAAAAACCGCGTAGCTAAGCTACCGATACCTTTTGTTTAAAAAAAAAAAGTACAGACAAATAACAATCCAAAGTTATTTGTTAATAAGACACATAGCTATCTATCGCGAGGCTGATTTGACGGGTCAGACCCCCATCACGTCACGCAAGATCCTGGGTTACCGCGCAAATTGAGGAAATGGCCTCCAGACAATACGGCTATTGTTCGATATTGTAATAGTTTGAGACGAGCTTTATTATACAAGTAAATGTGGTTGTTAACCTTTGTTTATTTGATACATATAATAGGTACGCACTAGTGGATATTATTTCTCTTTCTAATCAAAATTATTGTAGCTTGGAAATTATCTACTGTTTCCATCAATCATCTTTTTTTTATACAACTTGGAATGGCAAACAAGCTGACGGCCCACCTGATGGAAAGTTGTAACCGTCGCCTATAGACATGAGCAGTACCATGGACATAACAGAGTATACTGTTTCGCCCATGATACCCCTATACGTTGCAATTCCTGAGGACTCAGGTGTTATTCCTCTGTACCCAGTAAATTCACGCCATATCGGGGGAAAGGGATTGTTAGTAATGGAGACTGAGAATCCTATTGCTAGCAATATACCCAACCAGGTCGACCTCCTCGCGGTTCTCCCTGGAAACTTTCATGGTTAATTCCTGATGAATTCATCATGATGGGCTAACTGCCCTGTTTTCATTCTCATCTATCACCCTTCACTGGTGCTCCGCCAGCGTATCTCGTTAGCACAAGCGGGGTTACCATACCATTATCACCCAGCAAAAAAAAAATAGGTCCGATTCTGAGGTGTAATTCCTTTAAATTTATCTCTTACTTTAATATTTTAAATGTAATAATTATGACATAAATTTGGCAAATAAATAATTCACAATTGTTCTTTTAATAAAGATTTCGCTGTGGTATCAAATTGAAATAAAAATTTTAGAGATAGATTTAAAGAAATGACTTCTTAGAATTGACTCCAATCAAAATAAAACTCTTCTGGAGTAGTATAAAAAGTCTAATACTGAAATTGTGTAGTTACCAATAGACATTGAGTTATTATATACCTACAAACAAATAAAAAGTCGATTGCTTGGGTACCTCGGTCCCATTCGTGATTCTACC